ATTTTAGCTGTTAATCGATTATTCCAGAGAGCTGATACAGAAAATGTTTTTTCTCTCTGTAATAATCGATTAGTTAGCCTTTTAATCGATTAAACCAGTGTGTTTTTGATAAAAATGAGTTTTTGAAACTTCTAAAGAGTAGACTATGTGATGGCTATCTTATACTCTAATATTACAGACGCAAAATCATCAAAACATAGTTATTATACAAGAATACAAGTCTTCAACTCTCTAAGTCCATTGTTCTTGAATCATCATCAAAATCAACAAGCTTCATGTCCATGTAAGTTCAACATTCATGTCCTTGTATGTTTCAACACGATGTTTCTTCACTTGGGAGAAACAAGTATTTTGTGATGTTCATTGATGATTATAGCAAGAAGATGTAAGTGTACTTGCTTGAGAAGAAGTCGAGGGTGTTTAGTCTCTTCATCAATTTGAAATCGATGGTTAGAAAACAAAGTAGTAAAGCTATCAAAGTATTGAGATTGGACGATAGTGAATACAATAATGGTGAGTTTTCATCATTTTGCAAGGAGAAAAGTATTATGCATGAAATAGTACTCCCCTCACACGCCACAACAAAATGGAGTTGCAGAAAGAAGAAAATCGAACGATTTTGAATATGGTTAGAAGTATGTTGAAGACTAAAAGCTTGCCACATTTGTTTTGGGGAGAAGTGATATCAATAGTTGTATACATCTTGAATAGATGTCCAACGAAGAGAATAAAGGAGAAAACACTAGAGGAAGTATGGTTTGAGAGAAAACAAAAAATAAAATACTTGAGAATATTTGACTTGATTGCATAAAGGCTTGTTCTCGATAAAAGAAGGAAGAAGTTCGATGACAGAAGTGAAAAGCTAATTTTGATAAGATCTCATTCAACTAGTGTGTATAAGTTGTATGATTTTATTAAAAAGATCATCCTTAATAGAGATATTGGAGGAAAAAGTTTATGTTACACAACTACTAAGGTTTGTGATCAGTGGAGAAGAACAGAAGGTTCTTAGATTGAAAAAGGTGTTATATGGCTTGAAACAGGCCACGAGAGTCTAAAACACTAAATTGATGGTCTTGAACAACAAAGATTCTTGAAGTATGAAATTGAGTATGAGATTTACTCGAAGATTAAAGAAGATAATGTGTTAATTGTTTGTTTATATGTCGATGATTTTTTTTATTACAAATAACAAAATTATTTCGATCAATAATTTTAAAAAGAAGATGCAAAATCAAATTGAGATGACCAATTTAGGAAAACTTACATACTTTCTAGGAATGGAATTTATTGAAGGCAAAAAAGGTATTTTAATTCACCAAAATAAATATGTCAAAAAAGTACTCAAGAAATTTAGGATGAGTGAGTGTGTAAATGCTGCAATTTATAGACAAATAGTTGGCAGCTTAAGGTACTTATGTTATAGTACACTAGATATTTGTTTTGGTGTTAGGTTGCCAAGCAAATTTACAAAGAAACCCAAAGCATCTTATCTTGTAGCAACTAAGACAGTTTTAAGGTACATAAAGGGAATGATCAATTATGATATCTTATTACCAAGTAGTGTGCATCAGGAGAAGAGTTGGTTGGATATTCTAATTCTGACTGGGTTGATGATAAAGTTGGTTTCAGAAGCACGTAAGGTAATATACTCTTATTGGAAAAATTATCAATTTCATGATGTTTGAAGTTACAACTTATTGTGACATTCTCTTTTTGCAAAACTGAATATATGGTTGTTGCTTACACAACTTGTCAAACACTGTAGATCGAGAATTTGGTGAATTGAGTCCTTGAAAAACCAAAAAAAAATTATGACATTGAAGATTGACAATAAGTTAGCATCAATTTAGGAAAAATCTAATTGAAAAACAAAAATAGGATATTGAGATTTCATTTCATTAGAGATGAAGTAAGAAAGAAAAAAAAATCAAAGCTTGAACATTGTGGCACGAAGAAGCAACTGACGAATATTATAACGAAACTTTTGAATAATTGAATGTTCAAAAAATTAAAGAAAAGTTTGAACATTTAATTGATAGTTAAACTAGAGATTGTATTAGATGATAATTACGTAAATATGATGAATGATTAGTTTCAATTAGGTTAATTAACCTAACTAATTTTACTTATTATTATAAATATTGTGTCTCTATGTTGTTTGGTAAAAGTAGTTGTATGAGCTCGTTTACCTTGTGAATATAATTTTTTTAATATCTTCCTATCTCAATTCCTGATTTAGATTCATTTACTCTAATATATCTAAATCATTTTATAAGATAGTCTCGATATCTTTTATATAATAGAAAATATTAACTTAATAATAAATTTTAGAATTTGTACTTTTTTCATAATTCTTTATTATTTTTATCCTTCTAAAATTAAAAAAAATATTTTTAGTCATTATAAAATTGGTGAAGTTTTATTTTAGTTTTTATAAAATATTATATTATAATTTTATTCTTCTAATATAAAATCGCTATTTTTAATCCTAATATTTATTTTAAAATAAATAAATAATTTTTATTTTGAAAATCTTAAAAATTTTAAAAACATATTATACTAACATCATATAACCATCACGTTGAACATATAAGTAATTATTAAATGTAAAATAACATTAAGAATTAAAAGCAATAATATTAAATTTTAAAAAATTTAATCGAAATCACTAATTTTACAGAACTAAAAAATATTAAATGTTCTAAGAATTAATATTTAAATCAACCACTAACTTTACTAATGACTTATAATTCAACATTTTAGTAGTCTTCTTTTCTAATCAATAATTTTTAGTTTCAGAATCAATATTTATAAAGAAATTTAAGATCAATTCAAAATTAAAATCACTTATGTGCTGCTTAATTGAAATGAAATTATTTAATTTAAATTTTAACTCATGTATACTGAAACAAATAAATTTTGACTCGTGTTATATTCAGTGGATAACATGCGATGAAGATACAAGTTTAGACTTTAAAGGTTTATAATTTAATTAAATTAATAAATTTATTAATAATAATAATTTTTATAAAAAGAATAATAAAAATTATTATATATTATTGTACAATATAATAAAAATTAATATATTAAAAATATAAAATAAAGAATTATTAAAATGAGATAAAATAATTATTATTTAAAATTAAGATAATTAATATAAGATAAAAAAATATAATATATATTTTATAAAAAATTTGAACATAAATTTATCCGATTTTATTTTAATTCAATTTAAATTCGATTATTTTAATATAATCTAATCCGATTTGGATTGAATCGGTCGCGTTTTCACAACAGTGTATAACATCATATATTCTGATATTCATACTCACACGAAAATAATATTAAAGAAAATATAAAACAAAAAATGAATTATTGGGCCCATGAAATTCAGAGTAACCACTTGGAAACGAATATTGGATCATGGGTCTTAGCCCAGTTCAGTGGGTCTGTGAAGCAATACGACCTTGTTTGTTTCTTCAGCGGTTCTTCTTCTGCATCCCGCATCAGAGAGAGAGAGAGAGAGAAACGGCAAAACCCTAATTTGTTGCTTTTCCTTCTGTTCGCTATAATCGAAGACCACAATTTTTACTAAACGGTAACCCACTCCCTTAATTTTTCTTTTATAAAATTCTATTAGTACCTTTTTCTTCTTCTTCTTCTTCTTCTTCTTCTTCTTCTTTTAAATAAAAGGTAGATGAAATGGGTAATTACGGGATTTTTTAATTGATTGTGAAGTGCTGGACATAGAATTTTTGGTGAATTCATCGTATAGTTAATCATCCAGTGTAATTAAATGGGATTTTTTTCAAGGTCTTGCTTTTTCCCTTTTATTTACAGTGTAATTCTGTTCATGCAATAGCGAACTTACGAACCCATTTGGCAAAATTGTAAATTTGTGTTTGTACCATGGATGAGTTCTGATAAAAATTATTCGTTTTTCGCTCTTGGGTAGATGAAAAATTCCATTGAAATTATGTGCAACTGGGTAATTTCAAAAGTGCAGAAGGTAAGAACTTGGCAAGTAATAATCATTTAGGAAAACTTGGGATTCGTTTATCTTATTGCTTCTTCCAGTCTTTTAATCCATAGAGTTGAAGTTATAACGCTACATGCATCTAATAAGAATTTAGCTTATTTCTAGTCATATTTATGAATAAGATGATGTGGTAAAATGATAAAATCTTATTAGTATTTAGTTAAAAATGCTTTCCAGTGATAATGTATATAAATTAATTAAACTTTATTTCGAACTTGCTACTGTACTGCTAAATATTGGCTAAGTGATGATTGTGCAGCATGGAATTACTTTCAGTGGACTAGATCTAAGTAACCCTAATTGATAATGTCAACGATACTTGTGAACATGCTGTTTTGAGTAAAATGTTAAAAGACTTGAAAGTTATAGTGGATTGTTCTTGTGCAGGATAATGTACATTCTATGATTCGGAGTTTTGGTTGAACACTTGTAATCTTTGCTGTAATGGTATGTTCAATATCTGATCTCTAAAATATATTCTGTTTATTCGTTATTTGATTTAACTGTGTCATTTTATAAATTTTGTCGTTCTGCTCTTCGCGGCTGGTTGAGAGATGTTGCAATATCTCATTTTTGAATTACTTGTCTGAGGGGGAAAGATTTTGCGCTGTTCTTGGCTTGTGAATATGATTTTCCTAGTTGAAGCATCAATTTTCATGTATACTTTTACATTGAAGAAATTCTATAAAATTTAAGTATGTGGACATACAAGAAATTCTATTAAGCTGGAAAAGTTATTACAGAAAAGGGATTGGCAAGATATCCTCCTTAAAATAAGGCAACAAAAGGGCACATCCAATCCCATAGATCCGACACGATCAGGAATAAATTCAAATTTTGGAATTCTTAAAATGCACCAAACTAACATGAATGTATGAAAGTACCTAAAATTGTTCATTTGGACTTTTTGATATTTTGCATATCAATTATATTGTAGCACTTATTTTATGCATGCTGAATGCAGGATCCCAATATTGATGATAAGTGTGAAAGTAGACTCTATATTGGTAACCTTGATCTTAGAATTACAGAGTGAGACTTGCTAACTGCCCTCCAAGACTTAACTTTTGTTTTTGTTGTCTTTCATGCACATACTGACATACGTGTTCTCTCCTCTTCTTTTCAATGCATTCCAGAGCTGCTTTGCTTAAAATGTTTTCTCCTTATGGAAAGATCATTTCTGAGGACTTCTTATGGCACACGCGTGGCCCAAAACGAGGGGAGCCACGGGGTTTTGCGTTTATCCAGTATAGCACAAAAGAGGTAAGTTGATTGCACTCATTACTTAATTCACTTTCTAGCAAATTCTGATTTCCATTGTTAAAGTGAGAATGCAGGAAGCAGAATTAGCCAAGGAGAAAATGCATGGGAGGTTTGCCTGTGGCCGGCCATTGGTTGTTCGTCTTGCTGGTGAGAAGTGCATGCTGGAAACAGCTGATAAGTCTACAAAAGCAGTAAGTGAAGGGCTCAAGGTGCATGTGATTGGAGGTGGTGGTGGTGCCATGGGACAGACAAGTCGTAGTGCGAAAATAGCTGCTATAAAAAATAAATTGAAATCATTAGAGGAGGAGAGTTCTAGGACCAAGAAGCAGAAGCAAAGTGGCAATATTTCTTGAGTGAGATTGTGTCAAGTATACTATATGTAGAATGAAGGGATCATTCAGTTATGTATGAATTGAATGTGGTGCAATTGTTTGACCCTTTTAAATTGGAATTCAAATGTTTATTTCAGCTTGTTTTTCCAATTTAGGCCATAAGTCAGATTGTAACTGCAGAAGCACACTATCCATCTGAAATTCTCCAAATTGAAAGTTAGGAGGGTGTTCTCTAGATTTATGTGGAGTGGAATCATAACTTTTAATGGATTAGAATCAGAACGTTTTATGTCAGTTTAGAAATTGACAAGGTGACAGTTTTCAATTGATATGTTTTTGTTAATTATGGAATTTTTTATTTATTTTGTGAATCAAATGGTGAAACTAAGAAGCATAGGTGTGCTTTGAAGTATTTTGATTGTATGTCGGATAATATTATTAAGATGTTTGAGATATGGTTTAATTTTAAGTCATAATAATTATGAATATTTTAATCTTAAAAAAAAAGGAAATGCTTAAGAATGAGATTTTAGAGTGCAAAAAGGATTTTTTTTTCAAAACTGAGAAATGTATAAACAGTTAAAGACAATAAATTTAAGATAATTTATAGTTCTATTTTCTATTTTAAGATTATTAAATTGCAGAAATTTTATCCGTCCCTTTTTTTCTAAAATTCTATCTTTAAAATATCAGTAGTCAAAGAAATACGCTTATGTTAGTTCCCAGCTCATGCAGACAATAGTTTATGATTAATCATATACCAGTCATGGTTTTTGTTAAAAGAACTTTTAAACGTGTTTATTGTTTTTATATACTAAATAGTTTCTTGTTATGAAAGTCTCTTATCGCAAATTTTGGGCACTTAGAAGATCCCACAGCTCTTTTCATACTTTTACTCCTCTTTTTCAATCACGAAAAATATCCCATACCACAGAAGATTAATTGAGTTACCTTTTTTCTAAAAAAAATATATGGAGAAATTAAATAGGAATTTAATAGAATTTACAACAAGCATTTTGCTCAACTAGTTAAGGAGACTTAGCAATTGAGTCTAGATGACTAGTAACCCCTTTACCTTTTTGTTTCTTTTATTCATATCATAGATGAGTCATTAATTCATTTGGCTAAGTTTTCAATGATGAACATTTTGAAGGAAAAGTAAATCTTGATAGAGTTACGAGTCTAACTTAGTTAAAAATATGTGTTGAATGTAGAGAAAATAGGATTTGGAATTAATTTCTCTTGTGTATAAATCACACATAGAGTGGTCTATTTATAGTAGAGAGATACAACTAAAAGAGTAACTGAAAGTAACAGAATAAACAGAAGATATTGTTTGATATTGTGGTTACCAATATCTAACAATATCTTAACAATATCAAATAATATCTAAACAATATCTAACACTCCCCCTCAAGCTGGAGCATACAAATCGTATGTGTCAAGCTTGTTACTAATATAATCAATTCTAGGACTCCGTAAAGATTAAGTAAAAATATATGCTAACTGATCACTTAAATTAACAAACTCAGTCTTGATATCTTCAGACATAATCTTTTCTCGAATAAAATGACAGTCAATCTCAATGTGTTTGGTCCTCTCATAAAAGACAGGATTAGAACTAATATGAAGAGCAGCCTGATTGTCACACACAAGTGTCATTTGAGTGACATCTCCAAATTGTAACTCTCTAAGCAATTGCTTGAGCCAAACAAGTTCACAGGAAGCTGAGGCCATAACTCTATATTCTGCTTCTGCACTGGATCTTGCCACAACACTTTGTTTCTTACTTTTCCATGAAATCAAGTTACCACCAATTGAGACACAATATCCGGATGTAGATCTTCTATCCGAAGGAGATCCTGCCCAATTAGCATCTAAGTAGCAAACAACTCTTGTATGGTTATTAGAACCATATAACAATCCTTTTCCAGGAGATCCTTTAATATACTTCAAGATACGAATGACTGCATTCCAATGATCTTCACATGGTGAATTAAGAAATTGACTTACCACACTGACTGCAAAGGAAATGTCAGGACGAGTAACTGTAAGATAATTCAATTTTCCAACCAATCTTCTATACTGCTCAGGATCAGATATAGGCTCCCCCTGATTTGGTAGAAGTTTAGTATTGGGATCCATGGGTGTATCAACAGACTTTGAACTCATCAACCCAGTTTCCTCCAAAATATCTATGGCATACTTCCTCTGAGATATAACAATATCATCATTGGACTGTGCCACATCAATACCCAAGAAATATCTAAGTTTGCCAAGATCTTTGGTCTGAAAATGGTGACAGAGATGTTGTTTCAACTGAGAGATGTCATGGTTGTCACTACCTGTAAGAACGATGTCATCAACATATACTATCAAGTAAACACATCCAGCACTCGAGTGTCGATAAAAGACAGAATGATCTGATTCACACCGAGTCATACCAAATTGTTGAACAACCTTGCTAAACTTTCCAAACCAAGCCCTAGGAGACTGTTTTAGGCCATATAGGGATTTGCGAAGACGACATACCATCCCAGAAGACTCCCCCTGAGCAACAAACCCAGGAGGTTGCTCCATATATATTTATTCTTGCAAATCACCATTGAGGAAAGGATTTTTAACATCCAGTTGATAAAGAGACCATTGTTGAAGAGCAGCCATAGCGATAAATAAACAAACAGAAGCCATCTTTGCCACAGGGGAAAAGGTATCTTCATAATCCAACCCAAAAATTTGAGTATAACATTTGGCCACAAGACGAGCTTTGAGGCGATCAATAGTACCATCAGGTCCAACTTTGATAGCAAACACCCACCTGCAACCAACAACAGATTTCCCAGACGGTAACGGGACTAATTCCCAAGTTCCACTATTATGAAGAGCACTTAGTTCATCTAACATGGTCTGACGCCAACCAGGATGGGCTAAAGCTTCACAGACAGTTTTTGGAATGGTCAGAGAAGAAATAGAGGAAAGACATGTATAAAAAGGTAATGACAATCGATGATAACTCAAAGCAATATAATGGGAAGAGGGATTACGTGTAGAACGAATACCTTTTCAGAGGACAATGGAAAGGTCAGACTCATGTGTCAGATCCGGAGGAGACAGAGTAGTTGGTACTTGAGTAAAGTCACATGGTGGTGGTTGTGATTGGTTTCGAGAACTATAAATCTGAAGAGGCAGTGGAGAAGAAGCTAACTGCGGAGCAGAAACTAATGGTGAAGAAGACACAGTTAGAGGGTCACAAACAACATGAACATTAAATGTATTAGGAGTGTTGACAAGATTAGATGGAGACAGAGGTGAAGATTGACTTTTAAAATAAAGAGACAACTCATCAAAGGTGACATATTTTGACACAAAATAACGGTTAAGAGAAGGAGAAAAACATTTGTATCCTTTTTGTGATCTTGTAAACCCTAAGAACACACATTTATGTGATCTAGGAGAAAGCTTGTCAAGACCAGAACTGAAATTATGAACAAAACATGTAGACCCGAAAACTTTCAGAGGTAAAGAATGAAGTGGTTCATGAGGGAATAAAATGGAATGAGGTATTTTATTATCTAAAACCGAAGAAGGCATGCGATTAATGAGATAACATGCAGTAAGAAGAGCATCACCCTAAAAATATTGAAGAACATCTCCATGAATTAAAAGTGTGCGAGTTGTTTCAATAAGATGTCTATTTTTACGTTCAGCTACACCGTTTTGTTGAGGTGTATAAGCACAAAAAGTTTGATGCAAAATACCGTGAGAAGCCATGAATTGTTTAAAAGAATGAGAAAGATATTCACGACCATTATTACTACGCAAAACTCTAATAGAAATACCGAACTGAGTTTGAATTTCATTAAAAAAAGTTTGAAAGATATGAAATAATTCAGAACGATTTTTCATCAAAAATAACCAAGTGCATCTGGAATAATCATCAATGAAAGTAACAAAGTATTGAAAACCTAAAATAGACTTAATGCGGCTAGGTCCCCAAATGTCAGAGTGAACCACGGCAAAAGGGGATGAAGCACCACGTGTGAAACTTCGAGGAAAGGAAGTACGACTATGCTTGCCTAATTGACATGACTCACACGCCAAACTAGATAAGTTGAACAAGACAGGGACAAGTTTCTGTAACTTGGCAAGACTTGGATGATCTAACTGAGCATGAAGAAGAGAGGGAGACTCCATAACTGTACTAACATGTGTAGAGGGACGGAGATAATAAAGACCATGAGACTCACATCTTGTGTCAATCACCTATTTCGAACTCTGATCCTGTAAACACATAGAATTGTTGGTAAAAGTAACAACAATCAAGAGAACAAGTTAGACGACTGATGGACAACAGGTTAAAAGGAGACACAGGGACATAAAGAACATTATCAATGGTTAAAGAAGGAAAAAGTTTAACTGTTCCAACACCATGAGATGATACTCTAGAGCCATCAGCCAGTGTAACAGAAGGTAAATGATTAGGAGAGGATAAAGAGGAGAACAAAGATTTGTTACCAGTAATATGATCAGTGGCTCCCGAATCAAAAACCCAAGGACCAGGAGAAAATGATTGGGTCAAACCAGGAAAATATGTATTTGTATGTGTGACAGATATAGTGGAACTAGAAGACTGTTGATCCTAATACCATTCGAGAAATTTGTTGAACATAGCAGGCATGTCAGATGCAATAGAAGAAGGAAGATCCCCTGCAGATAAAGGTGGGGAAAGATTGGTCCGAACAACTACAGCAGATTGAGGAGGACGACCATGTAATGTATAACACTTGTTAATCTTGTGACCTAGCTTGCCACAATGTTCACACTTAGGACACCCTTTTTTCTGTTTGCGAGGGCGAGCCCGGTCATCACGATGGGGTGTCAACACAAAAGAATCGTTAACAAAATTGGAAATAGTGGAAGAAGTCATGAAGAGCGGGAGAACAAACCCTAAAACAATCCAAAGTAATCCAATTAACCCACGAAGCACAAATCCAAAATGAGAATACTAAAAATAAGTTTGC